CCGCCTTGTAGCCATTGAGACTAGTAAGTACGTTCATGCACAAGCGCCTGGATGCTGTTTACAGTTCCTTTGGATGTATAGCTAATCATGACTACTGTCTCGTATACCTTACTTCTGTAAGTCACACTACGTATTTTTCATCCCCAACAGTAATATGTGTGCATTCCATTTGTTTGACATTGATGCTAGTGTAAAAGTGTTTTGTTTAAAGCTATCCTAGGGGGTGTAAATTATGAAAATAAAGTGTGGTTTTTTGCATTTCCATAATTAATATTTAGTTTCTTTTCATGTTTATTGGCATTTGTATATATTCTTCAGTGAGCTATCTATTCAAACCCTTTCTCACTTTTTATTTAAAATATTTTTATATTTATTTTGTATATGCTGAGCGTTTTTCTCACATGTGTGTCTATGCATTGGATCCCTGGGAACTGAAGTTATGGACAGTTGTGAGCCACAATGTGGGTGCTGAGAATCAAACCTGGGTCCTTCCTCTGCAAGAACAAGTGCTTTTAACCACTGAGCCATCTCACCAGACCCTCTTTGTCCACTTTTAGGTAGTATCATTTTTTTCTCTTGATGAATTGTGGGAGTTCTTTACTAAGTGTGGATATTGGCCCTTAGCAGACGTTATTTTTAATATTTTCTCTTGTTCTGTAGGTTGTCTTTTCTCTTTATGGTTGCTGTCCTTCAGTACACAGTACTGGGCAACTTTGCAGAGTTTATTAGCTTTTAGTGTGTGTATGTGTGTGCAGGTACCTTCAAAGTCCAAAAGAGGGCTTTGGGTCCCCTGGAACTAGAATTATAAGTGGTTATAAGTTACCTAATGTGGCTATTGTAAACTGAACCCAAGTCCTTTTAACCACTGAGTCCCTTCATCAATTTCTAGGACCCTGTCTTTTGAAAAACTTTGGCAAGCGTTGGTACTTATCATCCAATGAACCAGATGAAGTAGTATTTTTGTTTGGGGAGACTTTGATTACTGTTTAAGTCTAGTGTTTCTGTGTTTATTTAAACTTTACTTTCTCATGTTGAGTCAGCTTGGGTAATGTCTAGAAATTTCTCCATTTTCTTTTGTGTTATATGATTGTCATACGATTATCTGATTTGGTCGCTTAATCCTATTTTATTACTATAAGTAAGATTAGGAATAATGTCCCTCTTCTGCTTTTTAACTATTTCACCTTTTTCCTTGGTCTCTAGAAATTTATAACTTTTGTTGATTCTTTCTCTAGAAGTTTATGACTTTTGTTGATTTTTTTCCCAAAGATCCAAATTTGAGGTTTTTTTCATTTGTTTGTTTGTAATTTAAAAATTAAAAGATCTTAAAACATACACACCTACTAAAAGCTAATAAACTCTGCACTGTGTCCCTGTCTTACGTTGAATTCTACAGATTCCCCGCCTTTGCGTCTGCCCTTGCTGTGTTTGCAGGCTCGTAGGAATGGTTACATTACAGAGGCACAATCAACTCTAAGTTAAAAGCACAAAAGACATAGGTGTTTCTTGTGTCAAAATACAGGGCTGAAAGAACTGTTCTGAAAGGGGGTATAAGAATTTTAATATATGCACCCATCAAGAAAGTCCCAGGACTTATGACAGATGTAAATACTGACAGAATTGAAGGGATTCACTGTCCTGCACCAATGACTGAAAGTATTAACCCCCTAGTTTAAATAATGGCTACCGCATGGAGACAGGGCAATATGAGTAAATAAGGGAACTGGACAAACTATGCACTGATCAGCCCTAAAATGTACAAAAAAAACCCTCTATTCAGTGTTTTTCTTTCAGCCCTTTCTACCTTCCACTCTAAAGTGAGTCTCTAGCAGAAGCATAGTTTACCCATTCTGCCACTTTTGACTTTTAGCTGTGGGTTGAATCCAGTTAGACCTCAGTGGTCACCAGTGAGGAGACACTTGGCTGTGCTACTGTCTCTCACATCTTCTTCTTCCTTGTTCCTTCAGTACTGCCCTTGTTGCTTGTTTATTTTTCCTAGCCTGCATTTTCATCATATCAATCTTTTCCATATCTTTTATTTTTTAGTAGTTACCATGGAGATTGCAGTTGGCTTTAACAATCTTATTTTAATTGATCCCATTTCAGTTCCGATAACATACAAAATCGCTGCTCCTGTGCAGTTCTGTCCTGCAATGCATGTTGTGTCATAATTATATCTTTATAGTATGTGTCTCTACTGCAGATTTAACTGTTTCATACATTAATCTTTTATATAGGAACAGAGTAAGCAGTTACTAATCAAGGCTGTGATATGGCCTGTGGAGTTATGTTGCTTAGAGTTTTCTTTGTGACTTCAAGTGAGGGTCTGCTGTTTGTCATTTCTTTAAGGCAGGTGTGCTGGATATCCTTAGCTTTGTTTATCTGAATCTTAGATTTTTTTTTTGAGACAGGATTTCTCTGTGAAACAGTCCTGGCTGTTCTGGAACACTGTAGATCAGGCTAGCCTAGAACTCAGAGATCCATCTGCCTCTGCCTCTTGAGTGCTGGGCTTAAAGGCATGCACCACCACTAACGGCCTGAATCTCTTAATTTATCATTCATTCTTTAAGCTTTAACACAATCTAGGATTGTTAGGTGATGACTTTGTTTTTTCTGGGTTTTGTTTGTTTTACCCATCCTTTTAAGAACATTGCTTCTCTGCCTTCTGGTCTACAGCTTAACTGAATAGTTTGGGCTCTTGGTCTCTCACAAGTTTGTAGTCAAAGTAGTTGGCCAGAGCTGCAGCTGTCACGAGTCTTTTAACTAGAGTTAGCTAATTTATGTCTAAGCTCAGTCAAGTGACTCTCAGCCTTGCTTTTTGCCTGTTGTGGGCAGGAGACCATTTCATCTGGCTTGAGTGTCTCTGTAGTTCTGGGCCCATGACAGCTGACTTCTCCTAGAGCAAACCCCCCAATGTTTTGATTGTTTTGTTTTTGTGTTCTTTATGCAACAATCAGTGTGTTCTGCTTTCCAGAGAGAGAGAGAGAGAGAGAGAGAGAGAGAGAGAGAGAGAGAGAGAGAGAGAGAGAGAGAGAGATGTGGGTGTTGGTAATCCTCGGTGCAGAAGGGCTTGCTTACCTTGCCCAGGAACATTGCCACCAAATGTTTTTTCAACCATGGAAATACAAGAGAGAGACTCCCAGGGAACTGTTTCACACAGGAATGGAATACAAACCCTATGGTTCACCTTTCTTACTCCTGTCCTTCCACATTCAACATCAAGAAAATAAGCTAATTCTGAGTACCTTGAACCTTAGTAATGTCACTAGGAATAGCTTTCCCATTAAATGTTTGCTTTATGGAGGAAATAGGCCCTTTGGGGGCTAAATTAAAAACTATGTGGATAAGGAAGGAGAGGGGGTTGAGAAAGAGATTGAAATTTGATTGATTCTCCTGGAGGCCAGTGCTTTATTGAATACAAGCATGAGGTGTCATGCTGGCTCAAAGGAGTACAATAACAAGGAGCATACAAGCAGCCCCTGCTCACATGGCTTATAATACAGATGGAGATTTGTGGCAGGACTCTGGTTAGAGTAATAAAGGCAGCAGCTGGGCCCCAGTGCAGCGGCTTCCCCACTATTGATTATCAGGTCTTACATTTGCCTATGCAACAGCGTGCAAAGACAAGTATGAAAATAGCCAGAGAAACATGTGAAAGCTTTTTCAGACCTAGTACATTCACAGCATAATGTTCTGAAAACTTTTGGTGCCTTTTTTATGGGACTGAAGTCTTTCTTGCCTGCCAATCAGGTTTTATTCTAATTTACTTAATTACTTGTTATCTTACAAAATTCCATTGCACTTATAATCTTTATTAGATTTTAAACAGTAAGTTTATAGTTTTATGTCTGTTGTTCTAAAACCATTTTATTTCTACAGAATTCATAAAAGAAGTAGCCATTGCTCATAATAAGAACAATGCAAGATAAGTAGTGATGTGTACTAGCTACCATTGGGTAACTGGTATGTCTGTGTTTAAGTGAATGCTTCTAGAAGGACTTGGGAGTGATCTGAACTTCAGTGTCTTGCAAGACAGTTTTTAAGCACCCCAAGTAAAGGTAATTCTAGGTAGTGCTTGGGATTGTTCTGAAGAAAAGTTTGGGATAGAAGAACTATGCTGTGTCCTACAGATCTTAAGCACATGTGGACAGAACTTGACCCATATCTCACGATGTTTCTAGAAACCTCCACATCCCTGAGCCAAGGAGAAGAACCTCTACTTCAGTTTTTCTTTGCCTTTAAAAAATATTTCTGGGCGTTGGTGACACACACCTTTAATCCCAGCACTCGGAAGGCAGAGGTAGGCGGATCTCTGTGAGTTCGAGACCAGCCTGGTCTACAAGAGCTAGTTCCAGGACAGCCTCCAAAGCCACAGAGAAACCCTGTCTTGAAAACCAAAAAAAAAAATAATAATAATAATTATAATTCTAATCACCTTTTAATTTTATATATGTGGATATTTTGCCCACATTTATATCTGTACACCTTGTGTGTACCTGGTGCCCAAGGAGGTCAAAAGAAAAGAGGGCCCAGGGCCTAGAGTTGCAGATGGTTGTGAGCTGCCATGTGAGAACTGAACCCAGATCTACTGTAAGAGACGTCAATACTTTTAGTCTTTGAGCCTTTTCTGCCTTCTTTTAAAGCATTGTTATTTGCTGGGCGGTGAGCAGCGTGGTGCACATGCATGGGTCAGGAGACACGCAGGGAAATTAGTTGTCTTTTCTACCACGTGGATCTTGAGGAGCAGACTTCAGGTTATCAGGCTTGGCAGCAGGTACTTTACGTATATGCAAGAACTGTATATTCATCTGATTGTAATTATAGGTTCGTATTGTATTTATTGGTTCATGCAATCCAGTGTCTCCAGCTCGACTTTTACATTTTTCTCCCTCCTCAACAAAATGCACATGAACTTGTCTATTAATGTTTCAAATTTGAGTATATTATTTTTTTCCTGGCCATAGTTAATTCTGAATTTTCACTTAATTGTTCTCTCCTAGACAGTTAAATCCCACACAGAAACAGAGGAGAAACAAGCAGAGAGCCGTACCGTCACTCCACCTGCTGCACCAAAACCAAAACGAGAAGAGAACCCTCAGGTAGGACCATCTGTGCAAGACCTCGCTGGGTCCAGGGCGTGAGGTTCAGCTTCTTCTGTGTTCCTTTCATCCAGCCATGTGATTATCGAGTCAGGTTCACCTGGGGCAGGGTTTTTTAGCACAAATTCTTGAGGGCCCAAGTACGGGTGCTGAAAGGAAGAGTTCTGAAATGTTTTTCTACAAATCCTGTAAACTTGAAACAGAGTTAATGATTAATTTCCCAGGTGTCCTGTAACATTGGTAAGGAAGGGTGTGCTGTGCTTGTCTCAGACAAGCAGCTGAAAGAATCTGCAGATGTCTCTTTACATCGTGGACTGCCGTTTTGTGTTCAGTTTTTTTTTTTAATATTGTATTTATTTATTGTGTATACAGCCTTCTGCCTGCAGGCCAGCAGAGAGCACCAGATCTCATTCAAGGTGGTTGTGAGCCACCATGTAGTTTCCGGGAATTGAACTCAGGACCTCTGGAAGAACAGTCAGTGCTCTTAACTGCTGAGCCATCTCTCCAGCCCCTTGTGTTCAGTTTTGATAGGCTACTTTATTACATTAGAGCAATAAAGCCCAAAGGAATTAGTGGCTCAAAAGTAGTACACTGAGCCTGAAAGTGGGTTAAAGAAGGTAATGTCCACACTATAACATAAGCAGTCACCAAGCCCAGAGCCAGCAACGGACTGCGCATGCCCGTGGACGAGAGGACGTCTAGCTTGATGCTCTTGCACAGGCAGATATAAAGGAAAATGCAGAGGGTGCTGTGGTGATGATGCTAAATAGTTGGTGATGGAGTTTGTGGGACCCTCTGTCCTCAATGCGCTCATACTGAAACCATACCAGACATGGCACGAAGCTGATGACATCACACTTTTTTTTCTTTAAATAAAAAGAGGAAAGATCTATTGAACAAGTCCAGTTTTTTGCTAAACAAGTACCAAATGTACTTCTTTCTGATGTGAAATCAACTGTATTTTTTAAAGGGCTAGAACTTGAACCAAAAAGAAGCCTTTGTACAAAAACTGCTGAAAACTTGTAGATCATTCACAAAAAGTAATGACAACTATCATGTGTGGCCCAGCTAAATTGGAATTGACTATGTAGCCAAGGCTGGCCTTACACTCAGAGAATCCACTTGCCTCTGGTGCTGGGATTATAGGCGTTCACCATCATGCACAAACAGCATAATTTCTTTGTAAAAAGAAAGGATAGATATCTTGTGTCAGTGACCCACTGCTGGTGCTGTCATGTGTAGGGGTAGATGTTTCCTTCCACTTGATCAGAACCTTCTAAAATTACTCCTATACAAGTATATATGCGTGTGTGTGTGTGTGTGTGTGTGTGTGTGTGTGTGTGTGTGTGTGTGTGTGTGGTGACTATGGGAATATGTTGCCTAATAGTTGGTGGTGTTTTTATTCATCAGAGAATATCTCCTTCTCTGTACTTGGGGCCTTCAGAAGCCATGGGCAGTACTTCAGTAGACAATGAAGACAGACTTTTCAGATCACAGCCAACCAGAGCAAAGTATAACAACCTGTCCATTGCTCCTTCCAGTTTAAAGATCTTACATTCTCTCTCAGGGATACAACTGGAGGGAAACTGCCCCATGATATTTAAGTTTCATGTTTAACTGAAAATCCTAATTAAGCAGAACCACCTACCAGTGTCCCTAAAAACATCAGCTGATGTTTGTGCTGTCTGGCGTGAAAGTCCAAGTGAGGAGGCAGCGTCCCAGTGAAGAGTGCCGTGTTTAGAACTTGAAGCATGCTGCTGTGAGGGCCCTTAGCCCCTCTGCAAGCTTCTCCACTAGGGATACTCTATAAGAAGATCCTCTGGGCAAAAAGTCCAAACACCAGTCAGTCCAGATACTGATGTGTGATTTTTGCAAAGTGTTGGCCCTTGTCAGAACAGCATGCCTCTGTTGTGACTCTTCATGTGAATCCCGCCTCTGTCAGGGCAACTTCTTGCTCCCTGACTAGGAAACCTGTGATTGTCTTTGCAAGATCCTGAACTGAAATATATTCTTTTGTTTCTTTGTCACAGAAACTTGCCTTCATGGTGTCTCTAGGGTTGGTAACACATGACCATCTAGAAGGTAAGGGAAGATATTCTCAGCATGATTTTCCTCTTAGTTTTGTTCCTAAAAGAGATGTTTGTCTGAATTCCTAGAATAGAATGTTAGAACACAAATAGTGTATAATATGACCAATGTGGACTAGATTTCCTTTAGAGAAAAAAATTGCGTCCTGTCCATGCAATGTCCAGGCCCTCCTCATCCTAGTGTCATTCACACTCCTGTCCTAGGAAACTTCCCAGCTTCCTCAATGAAGGTGACTCCTGCAGGGTCTCTGTCTCACAACAGAGTAGCAAGTGCTCCTTTGACAGTCCTTGTCTCTGTTTTCCAGTGACTGGACATCAGAATCCTGAGGACAATTGCAAAGCTCCATAACCCCTTGTTATTTAGTTAGAGGTGGTAAATCTTGGTTTGTACTCTGTGAATACAGCTCCTATACACTTGCACACACAGCAGTCTAAAATAAATGAGAATGACTGTTTACAAGTGTGGTCCACACCAGTGCTCTCATTCACAATGCAGTGCACTGAAGGACAGCATGACTTTACCCACTGAGAGGCACCAGTAGTGCCTGCTTCTGTTGAGGCCTTAGTGAAACAAAGCCTTGCCCGTTCCTCACTGGTTGCAGGAAACCCAGTGCATTAAGCAGTGAACGTCTGTCCCTTAGCTTCTTTGTTCCTACTGCCTTCTAACTGAAGTCTTTCTCCTTTCAAGAAATCCAAAGCAAGAGGCAGGAGCGAAAGAGAAGAACAACAGCCAACCCGGTGTACAGCGGGGCCGTCTTCGAGCCAGAGGTACCCCGGCAGCACTGGCCCTTCCTCCTGCTCTGGCTTCATTCGTGACTTGTTAGTCCCTCCCACCGAAAGCCTGCTAAGAGCTGTATGACTGTACTCAGCCTTTTCAGCTCTGTGACGTGATGGGCTTCTCTCTGCTCCTAACTCCACAGTGTTGTCCATCACTGCTTACCTCCTAAGGCTTTGTTGTGCTAAGTTTGAGTAGATACCATCCTACCTTACAATTTTAGTTCATCCTGATTTGAGCACACTGTCATGGAGCAGAGGCAGGCCCTTTTGGAGTATTCTCTCAGAGCCAAGTACATATAACAAAACACATTCACGCCGGGTGGTGGTGGTGCACTCCTTTAATCCCAGCACTCGGGAGGCAGAGGCAGAGGCAGGCGGATCTCTGTGAGTTCAAAGCCAGCCTGGTCTATAGAGCAAGTGCCAGGATAGGCTCCAAAAGCTACACAGAGAACCCCTGTCTTAAAAAAACAAAAGTAAAAATAAAACACATTATCGCTGAGACCTTGGGATGATTGGCACAGACTGGTCAGCATGTGATTGGCATGTTTGCAGTGTTCATAATAACCATGCTATTCAATAGTCACCTTTCCTTCTTAAATCTCCAAAGCGTAAGAAGAGTGCAGTCACTTACCTTAACAGCACAATGCATCCTGGGACACGGAAGAGAGGTGAGTGCCTTTTAAAGACCCTGCTTGTTTCTGCCTCTGCTTTCCATTTTGTGTTCTTTTTCTCTTTCCTCCCTCTTTTCCATTGTCCTAGAACCTAGCTCCTCTATCCCTTGAAAATAGATTTTTTTGTTTGTTTTCTGAGAACATGGAGGAAAAGAGAGATTTCTTAGTGCTCTGAACACAAGGTTAAAAGCTGACTTTCTGGGTCCTGGCTAAGCTGGCTCAGGAGAATGGCTTAATGCAGCATTTCTGCCCCAAGCATACTGGGCCATCCATGAAAGCGCAATGAACAGAGCACTGTGTGAAAGGAAGTGTTTAGCGTCATTAAACAGCAGAGCACTGCTGTTGCCAAGGTGTCCCTAATAGTGTTTTAGTTGTCCTGTTTCCAGTGAGGGTAGAACAGGACTGTGATCTGTGGAGTTTCCAGGAAGAGAACTTAGAATCTTTTATCATGAGCATCTCCAGCTAAGGAAGAAAAGGATGCTGTGAAAACAGGCTCCTCAACACAAACACTGCTAACACACTATTCCCATCTTCCAGACTGTACTCTAGGCAGACCAAAACAGCAGCAACTCTCATCACACAGGTCTAAATAGGTCTTCATAGCCCAGGCTTTGACTCATAAACAAGGTACTGAAATCACCCTCTGATGTCAGTAATACATCCCAAGATCCCTTTCTCCATGTGGTAAATGTGTCCCTGAGTTACAGTTGCAGGCTGGAAGGCTGTTGAGTGAGTGACCAGCATACTGATCTTTGTGCATGCACACAGACTCTCAGAACCCTTGGAGACTTTGGAGGTCACCCTGACCTTTGTCTGCCTTAGGCAAAACTACCAATGTGCCATTATATTCCTGAGGCACAGTCAGTCTCAGTGACATGAGCGATCTTTCATCAGTCCTGCCCTGCAAATAAGCAACCCATCTAGATGGGAACCCTTCAATTATTGCTTTGTAGTGACTCCTGGGCCACATCTTAAGTTACGTTTTGGTTTTGTGTGCAGCTATTTTTTAGTGACCACACAGTTCTCAGATGTGAAGTCCCCAGCCAGTGGCCTCAATTAATTGACCTGCTAGGATATAGTAGCTGCTTAGAGAACAGGGGTTAAATGAACCAGAAAGATCAGAAGCTGAAGCCCGCATTGGCTTTAGACCATGCTTTGGACATGCCTTGTATGTATAAGGAAAGAGGATTTGTTGTCAGTTTTCTTCCTCACAGCACTAGGTTCTTTAGGAAAAGACTAGTCAAATCTGTCTTTGCAACACAGGCTCTGTCTGATAAACACAGGCAATGCTAGTGTAGCACCTGGCCATCATAACACCTGTGCATGACCCTGAAATAAACTGACTGGTGGGAAAGCCTTCACCAGTGCTTGTGAGCAAACCAGGGTTCACTGGCTGTTGCTGAGTTTGATGTATTGGTTTGAACTCATGATTGCTGGCAGCTTAGAGGCTGTTACCCACCTCTCAGGAGGCATGGACCTTGATTTAGGTGTGTGGTAAAGTGACTACCCTAGACTTACTGTGACCTTGGGCTATGCTTTTTTATACTGCTTGTAGATGGCTCCAGACTGGACCTTTTGCAGAATGCCCTGTCCCGTCCTTAAACTTGTAGTCCATGCATGTTTGTGTTGTGAAGCAGAGAAACTGCTCTTAGGCCACCACAAAGGATACCGAAGGCTGGGAGCCTGTGAATTCATTGTTGCTCTTACACTCCAGCTTTTCCTAGAAACTCCCTCCCAGTGCCTCTGACAGCAGAGGGCCAGAATAGTTGACTGTAATTCTGCCCCTTCATATTACCTTCTTCCACCCTTACCAGCAGTAAAAGGTCTAAACTGTTAACAAACCAGAGAGACATGGAAAAGCAGAAATGCTGAATAAATCCATTCATGAGAACAGAGGGTCATTAGGAGTAATGGCTGCAGAGAGGCCTTAGTGACTAATGCACAAACACATGAAAGATAAACTCTGTTCTGGCTTCAGGGTCCTTTGCTCATTTCATGACACCTGGGTCCTCCTGTTAGAAACCTCAGATTGTTGATAATCCAGGAATGATCATGGTCTGCAGAGCTGGGGTCTCTTTACAAACCCCAGCACCTTTTACCACTGTTTAAGGCTCCCTTCTCCTCCCTTCTTTTAGAATCCATGTAGTTGTTTCTAATGGCATTGAAACCTGCTTCTTTCCTTTCCTCTGGCCTGTGTATTAACCTTCTGTCTGCTACCTCACTTCCTTTTCCATGCTAGCCAATGAGGAACACTGGCCAAAGGTATGTAAGATCGTTTCCCCTGTCTTTCCCTCCCCTTCCCCCTTTTGTTCCCTTCTCTTGGTATATAGGTCGTCCTCCAAAATACAATGCAGTGCTGGGGTTTGGAGCCCTTACCCCAACATCCCCCCAATCCAGTCATCCCGACTCCCCTGAAAATGAAAAGACAGAGACCACATTCACTTTCCCTGCACCTGTGCAGCCTGTGTCCCTGCCCAGCCCCACCTCCACAGACGTAAGTAACTTGGGGACGTGCACTCTCTCCGAGAGCTCACATGGGAGAGCCATTGTCCTGTGTTGTCTCCTTACCAGATTGACCCTTCCTCGCTAGCCCTGGGAAAGCAGCTGATACTGCAGAGTGCCTGCATACCATTCCAGACAGTTTTCTTTTGGGGTCTCAGCTGTTCCTTGTCCTTGAGTTCATGTTCACTTAAATCTAGAGAACCCAGGGTTTCAGAGTCTGGATTTGATCAGCTGTGAATTAACTCGCAGAGGAGGGTGGGGACATAGACTTATGGTTGAGAGGTTTCCATCATTGGTGTGTTGGAGATACAGCATGAGCAAAACAGCTGCATCTAGCAGCCCTGCTGCTGTGTTAGGCACACTTCTACAAGTGCAATGTTTTCTCTTTGGTGGAACTGGTCAAAGGCAGATTCCAGCACTTACAATGCAGCAAGTTCACTCAGCAGATCTCATGGGACACTGTTTGACCAAGCAAGTGCTGCTCACGAGGTTGGAGATACAACAACGAACAGACCAAGCAAAATGCAAGCACTTGGGGGCTTGTGTTCTGTGGGAAGTGGTAGGAAACAAGGGAACAAATATGTAACCCATCAAGCAGAGATGAGCACCAGGAGGAGAAATGGAACAGATAGGGACAAGGTGCAGTGCCAGGAAGGCTAAGGCATCATCCATGGAGAGGGAGAAGGGACCTCTCAATTATGTGTGGGACGTGTGACCATAGAAGTAACAGGTTCTGTGATCTCTAAGTACAATAGGAGATCGCCCGTGGAATGACATAATTCTCCATTTACAAATGAGTTGTTTTATTTTGAAGATTCTCAAACCTGTGGGAAGGTTGCAGCAATGGTGCAGTGGACATCATTTGCTCTGACTCATCAGTTAACTTGCTATGTTTTTGTATATACTTTTTCCTGAGCCAATTGAAATTTTTCACTTCTAAGAATAACAGTATTCTGTTGTGTATCCACCATGTGGTTATGACATTATGAGAATTTAACATTGGTTACAAGTTAGCATGTAATACTCAGTTCATATTCTGATTTTTCCACTTGTTCCAGTAATTGTCTTTGTCCAAAATCACTTTTGGCATGTATTATTCCTGGTTGAATCTCTTTACTCTCCTTTATTCCAAAATAGTTTCTTAGGCCATTTTTATTACACTTTATTCATTTAGAATGTGTGTATCTATGTCTTTTTGTATACATCCATGCCATGGCATATGTGTGGAGGTCAGAGGACAGCTCTTGGGAATCAGTTCTCTCTTTCCATTTTGTGGGTCCCTAGAATTGAACTCTGGCCATCAGGCTTGGTGACAAGTGCATTTATCACTAAGCTGTCTTAAAAGCCCAACTTTGTGTCTCCTGGTGCTGGTATCTTTTTTCGATGGGACAGTTGCCCCACTGGATTGTGTTCAGAATAGACTGAGGCATACATTTTTAAAGGCACCTAGAATCCGGGATGGCAGATCCTTCCCAGGGTTGCGCAGCAGGATGCATGTGGCATCAGTCTGTTGGTGGTAGTGTTAAATTTCATCTCTTGAGATAATTTCCATTGAATTATTTTCACTTGTAAAAGTCTGTTTTCACTCTGGTTGGAGATAGCTTTGAGTCCGTGTGAATAGTAAGTTTCCTAACAGACTGTTAACCAAAGATTTCAGCTTCCTTGGATGCTTCCTGATGCTTATAGAACTAGCTGAATCTTGAAAGAAGCACTGTGGAGAGGGACCTGGGGAAGGATGAAATAAAGCAGGGAGGCCTGTGGTGTTCCAGCAAGAGATGATGATACCTGGCTAGTACTGATGGTGTGGTAGATGCAGAGATGGATAAAAGTGGCCAGTTTTGTTGTGTCTTGAAGATTCGGGTGGATTAAATTGAGTACTGAGAAAAAGAGAGTTGTCAAGGGTAAATATAAAGTTCATGGCCTAAACACCCAGAAGGTTGATACTGTCATTTACTGAAGATGTCAAGGGGAACAGTCCTGAAGCAACAAAACAAGAACGTCATTGTTCATGTTCTCATCCCTTAGAAATTGCAGAGCTTGTTGTTAACCATCTTCTGGTGAAATGTTCCTTGAAGTTGAAGATTCTCATGACTTACTAATGGCACACCCATCTCAACCCCTTTAACTGAAGCCTTGAGTTCGAATTCCAGAGGCAGCGGACAAAGTATTGTCTTTGGAGAACTGGGGTCATAGGAGAGTTCTGTTCCCAGCAGGTTCTGCTCCTGCTGTAGCTGATGTTCCAGGCTCATCCTGGTTCTAAAGACTTGGAACCATCCATCCTTTCTATTCTTTGGCCTTGGCAACTGATCCAGGTTTTCTAACTGTCAGGTGAACATGCACTGGAAGTCCCTGTAGAAACCATGTTTTCTGGTACTGAAGACTGAGTCAGCTTTTCCCCAATCCAGATGTGGTCAAAGAAGTCAGCAACTCACTGGCTCCCTGTGCATTGGTGACAGTGCTGGAGAGGTGGCTTTGAACCTCTCCCTGCGAGTTTCTTACACCCTATTGCCTTGGTCTGGGTGCGTTGTTTGAGTGGACGCTTTTCTTTTACAGATTAGACCTAAAGAATCCACTCTGGTCAAATCACAACTAAAAGCTTTTGCCAGATTTCATCTTAAAATGCAAACATTTGTAGAAATCTAAAGGGCAAAATAATGCTTTTCTGAAACCACTAAAAGTGTTCAGAATTTCCTAAGTCAAACGCAGTGGGATTTTTTTTTAAAGATAATTGACTTCTACTTTTACAGTATCCCAACAGCAGCCGTGATTAAAATCAACACACAGGGTTCTGTGTGTTTGCTGCTGGGTAGCATAAGCCTCGACATTAATTAAACAATAACCGTTGAGAGCCAAGCATTTCCTGGGGATCAATAACCATCTAGAAGGACTTGGTAATACAAGACCCAGCCAGACACTAATCCTCAGGATGTACCTTGTTGCTGCTGTCATTTTTATGGGAAGGGAAGATATGTTGACTAATTATAAATTTTTAGCACACAGTAAAGCTGGAGTGGATAGAGGCAGCATGTTCCTAGCAATGTCATGGTCAGGCACAATTCAGTTTACTGTTTGCTTATGGCCTGTCACCAGAGTTGAGCCTTGTGATCTCCACTCTTTAGGCAAGGGCTAACCTTGATGGATGCACTGTCTCTGTATTTTATATCCATTCTGACATTCTTGGAATTTTATGCTTAAACTGTTAGGCTAGAGCAGTTCTCAAAATATGGTCTGGAGTCACTGGCACTTTTCAGAGGTGTATAAACCAGAATTGCTTACAAAATAATGGTAATGCATCAGGTACCATTTCCACCCTCTTTCTCAGGACTAGACAAGGATTTTCCAGATATAACATCCTTGTGATATTATGGCTGTTTAATGCTTACTTGTATTCTTGAGTCGTTTTGTTTCAGTGTACAGTTGCTATAACTTTCAGTGACTCTGTAATTAACTCACAGTTCCTCAATGATTTTCAGCACATAGAAATCCTAACACTTGGTCTGGAGAGATGGTCCCTCTTGCACAGGACCTGGGTTCATTTCCCAGCACCCACGTGGCAGCTCACAACTGTCTGTGACTCTGATTCTAGGGGATTCAACAACCTCACAAAGACATACATGCAGGCAAAACACCAATGCATATAAAATAAATTATGAAAAAGAAAGGAATCCTAACGCTCCAACACTAGATACTACTGCTGTAGTATATGTAAATATGAAATTTGAAAGATGGAGCTGGAGACATGTGCACATGTGCATACGAACACACATGCACACAAAAGAGGAGTTTCCTGCAGAGAGAAACTGTATAACTGGGAAGATGTATTCCCTTGGTGGTATGGTGGTAGAGAAGGCACTGGACATTACTTTCTGTCTTGCTGCTTGCGGTAGGCTTTCTTCTAGCAGAATACCGCTTTAAGATGCAGTGTGCTAGCACTGACTTGTTGACTGTCTGCCAGCTTGTCCCCTCAGTTTTCCCTTCCCTGTCATCCTAATCCATGTGTTGATTCTCATCTAGACAACAGGTTGCACGTTGACTTGCTGAAACACACCTCTTTAAAAACTCTTGACTTTATTTTTCCTGTCTTCTTTCCTCCAGATTATAAATAGATCCGCTTTGTTGTGTTTTGGTGGTGCATTCTGTTCTGAGGGCTACAGAAGCCCCTGAGCACTAGAACTATCACAAAGAGGGGTGGTAGAGTGGACTGGAGCTGCCTGATTTTTATTTTTGTTTTTGTTTTCATCTAGTGAAGTATTTTATGGGGAAGAGTAAAGCCTCCCATTAGATGGTCTGTTGAGCAGCAAATGCCAAATGCTGGTTCTGTAGAGCATCACTGGCTGCTACTGTGGCTTCTTTAGTTCCATGTGTTAAAAGCTTCTATAAGTTCTCTGCTCCTGGCTTGGGCTTTTCACTTTCGAACATTCACTATATTTTCCCCAAGTAAGCAACAAATTCAGTTTATTTGTGCCTCTGTTTCCAAATTCTTCTTAAACTCCCTCAAATGACAGATGATAAACGCTGCTCCTGTCATAATATGAAACACATTGCTTAGTGGATCTCAGTGCCTGATAGCCTCTGACCTGTGGGTTAGATTCTTGGCATTAGGAGGGCCAACCTGTTTACCTAAACTGTTGATTTTGACTCAGGCAACTGAAGATCTTTGCTGTAAACTGTTATTTGTAAGGCTAAATTCTCCATTTGAGTTTTTAAATTTAAAGAAAGTCCTTAATGTTTAAATTTCAAGTTAAGTTGCCACCCCAGAAACTGAGTTGTGTGGGGTAGGAGTAGGTTTGTGATATTGGCAACTCCTGGTTTCCTAACCCTGTTGTAGGGCCATCTCTGGGCTGGCAGCTCGATGTCGAAAACACCTATGTGCAATCACAGTCTACAAGGTAACACTTGTTTTTCTTACCTTTCCTCTCCATCTCATAGGGTGATATCCATGAGGATTTTTGCAGTGTTTGCAGAAAGAGTGGCCAGTTACTGATGTGTGACACATGTTCCCGTGTGTATCATCTGGACTGCTTAGACCCGCCTCTGAAAACAATTCCCAAGGGCATGTGGATCTGCCCTAGATGTCAGGACCAGGTACTGAGGGTGGGCCACATGGATGAGGGACCAAGGAAGAGAAAGACAATGCCCAGCCGGGCAGTGGTGGCGCACGCCTTTAATCCCAGCACTCGGGAGGCAGAGGCAGGCGGATCTCTGTGGGTTTAAGACCAGCCTGGTCTACAAGAGCTAATTTCAGGACAGGCTCCAAAGTCACAGAGAAACCCTGTCTCGAAAAACAAAAAAACAACAACAAAAAACCCAAGAGCTTAACAAGTTCAAAGCCAGCCTGAGGTAGAAAGTGAGACTACCACAAAAAAGAAAACAAAACAAAAAACAAATTAAGATCCTTAAAAACTCATTCTGAGCCAGGTCTGTACGTGCATACCTTAAGTCCCAGCAATCAGGAAAGCTGAGACTGATGGATCTCTGAATTTGAAGTCAGCCTCATGTATATAACCAGTTCCAGTCAAGCCAGGGCTACAAAGTGAGATACTACATCAAAAATACTAAAATAAATAAGTAAAACCTGATTTGGGATTTTTTTTTTATTTTCCTCATTTTTTTTTTTCCTGTGTGTGTGTGTGTGTGTGTGTTCTTCTGTAACACTGGTACCTGAACCCAGGCCCTTGTGAATGCTACTTAAGTTCTCTGCTATTAAGCTGCATCTTAAGTGCATGGTGAGTGAGACAAGATCTCTCTCTGTCACCCAGGCTGGCATTGAACTTGGGATCTCCGGCCTTGGTTTCCGGAGTGCTGGACCTCCAGGTTATGGCCACACCTGTCTCGCTCCTCATCCCATCACCTCCCGTGTGGTCAGGGTGCCCTTCACCTGCTCTGTTCTCATGTAACCCTCTACAGTTGCCTACACAGGGGGTGAATTATATGCCAGGACTTAGAACTATATTAACCTCCTTAGAGGTGTTTTTGAGAGACATAACAAAACTGAATTGGAAACAGGACGTCTGTGTCAAACCAATGGCAGAATTGCCTGAGGTGACTGGCCATCGTTGTGCTGCTGGTTCCAGCTGTAGAGAGTGGTTCGAGTTATATGGCTTTTGTTTGCGTAGTTAAATGGATGTTTTTATTTTTGCCTTTGTTTTGAGACAGGGTCTCACTGTGCATCCCTGACTGTCCTGGAACTTTCTATGGACCAGGCTGGCCTCAAACTCACAGAGACCCACCTGCCTCTGCCTCTGATCGCTGGGATTAAAAGCGTGTGCCACCATCATCTGGCTTCCTGTGCCTTTTTTAGCATTTTTATGTGTTTGTTTTATGTATAGTTGTATTTTATCTGCTTGTATATCTGTGTACCATATAACATACCTGGTGCTCTATGCCCTCAGAAGCTAAAAGAGAGTGTCAGATAGGCGTTACAGACAGTTGTGAGCTGCCATGTGGGTGCTGGGATTTGAACCTAGAACATCTAGAAGAAGAGCCAGTGCTCTAAACCACTAAGCCATCTCTCCAGCCCCTCATGTGGTTTTTATAAAGATAAGGATGCTCCCAAGTCTCTCCCTCTTTCTGTAGCCTACGACTTTGCATGCTTCCACAAGCCTCCCTGGATCTTGTCTCCAGCCACAGACACTGGTGTTTGCTGTTACTTTGGTTCTCAAGGGAGAATTCTAAATTCTTTTCAGATGCTGAAGAAGGAAGAAGCAATTCCATGGCCTGGAACTTTAGCCATTGTTCATTCCTATATTGCCTACAAAGCAGGTAAAGTCCACCCTTTCAGAAGAAAAAGCCACTAGAAGGTGATGTTCACTTTTATTTCCAAAGAAAAACAAAAATGCTTTATTGAATGAAATTGAAAGTGTAGGAGCCACTTTTTGAGACAGAAACTGTGAAGTGTGCTATGTTACCCATGTAAAGCCTGGCCCAAGCTACTAAGGCCAGCACACCTGGAAGGGGGGAAAGTCCAGGGGGTCAGTTCTGTGTCCTGACTGTGTGACTGAGGGGGTACTTTCAGGGTGGTGTCTGGTGAACATCTGGAACCAGGTAAGCTTTTCACAGAAGTGGTGGTTTGAAACTGACTTTCTCCCCAGCAAAAGAAGAAGAGAAGCAGAAGCTACTTAAGTGGAGTTCAGATCTAAAGCAGGAGCGGGAGCAGCTGGAGCAGAAGGTGAAAGAGCTCAGCAGCTCTATAAGTGTAAGTTCTGTGAGTGTGAGCTCTGTGAGTGTGAGCTCTGTAAGGGTGAGTTCTATAAGTGTGAGTTCTGCAGTGTGAGCTCTGTGAGTGTGAGCTCTGTAAGGGTGAGTTCTATAAGTTCTATATGTGTGAGTTCTGTAAGGATGAGCTCTGTAAGGATGACTTCTGTAAGTGTGACTTCTATAAGTGAGTTCTGTAAGGGTGAGCTCTGTAAGGGTGAGTTCTATAAGTGTGAGTCCTGTAAGTGTGAGCTCTGTGAGTGTGAGTTCTGTAAGGGTGAGTTCTATAAGTGTGAGTTCTGTAAGGGTGATCTCTGTAAGGGTGAGTTCTATAAGTGTGAGTTCTGTAAGTGTGAGCTCTGTGGGTATGAGCTCTGTAAGGGTGAGTTCTATAAGTGTGAGTTCTGTGAGTGTGAGTTCTGTAAGGGTGAGCTCTGTGAATGTGAGTTCTGTAAGTGTAAGCCACTTCCTCTGTCAACTCTGGAGACACAGTGCTGGGTCCAGTCCTGTAGATGAATGGGATCACCTTGGGCAGCCGGAAGTCTGCCTTCTGTGTTAGTGAGCAGTGCTCAGAAGATGTGGCCTTGTGACATGTGATACCTTGCCCAAGCTCTGAGTGTCCTTGTGCTGCTGTTTGAGATTGAGTAACAGCTCAACACTGTAGCACCACCCAGTGTCTGTGCATTTCAGAGTGCCTGGGAGGAGTGCAGAGCCTCTCCTGACCCTAGGCAGACCCAGGCCCCCTGGGTGACTCTTTTAGAAACCTAATTTACTCAACTCAGGGAAGAACTACCAGCTGGTAACCAACCTAGAGGGCCTGGTTCACTGACTAGAGTCTTTTGACTTTGGGTCTCAGGTCTCCTAAACATTCCTGGGCTACCCAGGCCCTATCTCTGAATTGTGAGTGAGTAAATGATCCTCCACAGACGCTTGGATCAATTCACTATCTCTCTCACTCACTTTTTAATCACCTGTGAACATGGCAGAAACAAGCTTCAGGGCAGCTTTTGTGGTGAATGTAACATCACAGCATCATCGTTTTAAGTGCTAGTGTCTGATAGAGTGACTTTCACCCTACCCACTGACCCCCAGCTTTTTATGTCTTCCTCTTGGGTAGTGTCTGCCCACACCAGGTGCCACAGCACAAGTTGTAGGGGTACACACCAGTACACGGGGATTGGTTTATGGGGGCATTTTTCTCTGGTTTGCTACAGAAATGTATGGAGATGAAGAACACCATCCTGGCGAGGCAGAAGGAAATGCGCAGCTCCCTGGACAAGGTGAAACAGCTCATCCGCCTCATCCATGGCATCGACCTCTCCAAGCCTGTAGACTCTGAGGCCACGGTGGGGGCCCTCTCCAACGGCCCAGACTGCACCCCCTCTACCAACGCCGCCTCCACCCCCACCCCCTCCCCCTCCTCGCAGAGCTGCACAGTGAACTGTAACCCGGGGGAAGAGACTAAATAACAGAGCCCTCGAGGAGATGCCGCAGTCCCAGTGGCAAGGAGACTCGAGAAAAGCAAAGCCGGATTCTTCTGGAAAGTACAGAATTCTTTTGGTTCTTTGGTTCCAGAGAGAGAGAAGATGTTTGTGCCAGGTGGCACCCGAGTTTGCCAATTGATTCTTCTTATTCTGTGTGTACATGCAAAGATTGGACCATGTTACATGAAATAGTGCCAGCTGGAGGTTCTTTGCCAGCACCATGCCAAGTGAAATAATATATTTACTCTCTCTATTATACACCAGTGTGTGCCTGCAGCAGCCTCCACAGCCACGGTGGGTTTGTTTTTGTTTTGTTGGGTGGGGAGCAGGGACGGGCGGAGGGAGAGCAGGTTTCAGATCCTTACTGGGAGCCGTTTGTTTAGGTAGAAAAGACAAGTCCAAAGAGTGTGTGGGCTTTCCTGTTCCTAAACTTTCACTACCATAAAACCAAAAAAACAAAAAAGAGGAAAAAAAAGAAAAAAAAGGAAATAGAGGTTTAACTAACCCAGTGCCCAGAGGAGGGCCGGGGAAGGCTGGGGGGACAAGGGTGGGAAAGTATATGACATAAGCAGTATTTAATGTTTCCGGAGGGGCCCTAGTGCCAGGAGAGCCCAGGTCCCTCCCAGCTCCGCTGTCTCCCACAGCCTCCAGCACCCGTTCCCGCCCTCTGCTTGGTGTAGTGCACAGCCCCAGGTGGTCCCCAGGCCTTGCTGAAGCAGGGAAGGGAAGGTGTGTGGTCCAGGAGGGAGAAAGGCGGATCAGAGGTTTTACTTGAAAACAAGCTCCATCCTTTTTCTATATTTATAAGAAGAGAAGGTTCTGAGCAGGGCAGCGTGACCCAGGTGTGTGGCACGACCAGGTGTGTGTGAATGGAGACAACCCTTTTCTCTTCTTCAAGCTTATTTTTTGTTTCTGTTCTTGTTTTGTTTAAACCAAGTTTTATTTCATGGTTTATTTTACCTTCTGTGTTTTTGTTTTTGTAACAAGAACTAAAATGAGGAATAGAAAGCTGTTTCAGGCTGACAGTCCTTTAAGGGTAGCGAGACCTTGCATGGTAGATTAGCGTCACAGTGTCGGTGAGGTCAGTGAGTCTTTGTGCGTCCTGTGTCATCGTTCAGGCACCATTTGGTTGTTTGGTTTGGTTTTGTTTTTCTTTCTGGTGTCTTTTTGTTTTGTTTTGTTTTGTTTTGTTTTTAATGCAAGGGCAAAAAAAATCTTTGTACCTGGGGAAAACAACAGCAACTTTCTTTTTTTAATTAAAAAGGAAAATAAAAGATATTGAGGTCTTCCTAGTGTTACTTAAATTAAGATCAAGGTAAGAAACATTGTAAAAAAAATTACAAAAGTGCTATTTGTTTCCTAAAAAAAAAAAACAAAACAAAAAACAAAAAAAACAGTGATTTATATTAAAAAGGTGTCAGAACTGGAGAAAATGCCGTGTAGTTATAATTTTTTAGCACAGAACCTGCTGACCACGATGACATTTTGCTGTGTTTGTGTCTCTAGACTGGTGGGCCAGTCTTTAGAGTGGCAGGTCCTCCTGTCTCCTCCCTCCTCAGACTGTGCTGTCTTTTTTGATACAGGGATTGCATCTCCTGTGCTTGAAGCCAAAATGGAGTGTGCATGGTGTGAGGGCCTCCCCATGGTCTCAGACTTTGCTAGAGTGCAGGCTGGCGCCCACCTAAGACCTTCCTTTGGTGCTGCTCTCAGTCTTACAGCCACCAGCATTCCATATGCCTCGGGGGCGCCTCGGGGGACTGACCAGCGAGGCTCCTTGCTGCCTGTACACTTGGCCTGTGGGGTGGGGTGGGGTGTAGGCTGGCTGGAGCAGAACTAAGGAGGGGGTCCCTTGAGGGCTCATATGTCTCTCAGAGCCCAGGTGGCCTTCAAGTCCATCTTGTGTTGAAGAAAGGTCTGCAACTCCAGCTGTCCTCTGCCTCCTGGCGCCAGGCTCACAGTTCACTCCATCCCACCCACCCACATGCTTCCTGGGTGTCTCTGAGCTAGAATCACTATGCTTGCCTTGTCTGGCCTATTGTGGCCTTTTCTTCCTGGAAAACTGGGGTTCTGAAAGGCTCTCTAGTCATCTCCCCTACAAACCATGGGGAAAGTAACTGAGATGCATGCTCCCACTGGAAACCTTTGTCTATTACATGTCCTCGAGTGAAGGGACAGAGGCCTAGGTCCTGCCCTCAGGTCCACAAGCAGCATCCCTGGAACCCACCGGCCCCCCAAGTCTAGGAATAGCAGGAAAGGCCCCTTTGCTTCCTCTTGCCCTGTTAGGTCCTGGATCCTGACAGTAACTACAGCAGACAGGGGTGCTCCTGAGAGTGAGCAAGGCCCATCCACACCAGCCGGCCATTCCTTGCCCCAGCATTTGAGAAGGGGGTGTAGTTTGGCTGTACCAGCCTCAGCGTCAGGCCTCTGACTTCAGGTCAGGTTGACTGAGGGGAGCAGAAAAGATCCCTCTTTTCTTATTCTGAAACTAAGGTGCTAACTCTAGTTAGTGAGCTTTGGAGATGCCTGGACTAGTTGGAGGAATCTTTGGCAGAGGATCAGAGAGACCAGCAGCAGGCTGATGCCCTGTCTTGGCTCCCCCAACCTCCCAACCTCTTGTTGGACTTGTCTGGGCCCATAGGCTAGGGCTTGGCACACAGTGCCTACCTGGGATGGAAAGAGGTTGAGAAGCCATCAATCCCTACAGGCCTTTGCCCCAGAAGGGCTGCTTGCTGGTGACCATGCAGGAATTGAGCAACATAGATTCCCTTCTTGTAATGTTTGGAAATGAACTGCTTGAGTCTACTGGAGCGGAGTGAAAAATGTAGCTCTGCTCTAGGCCTCCACTGCAGGCCCTGTCCCTCAGTCTACACGCCTGTCACTCTCAGAACAAAGCTCCTGTCCCCTTAGACCTGTGAGTCCCTGTGACCACCTGGGACACACATGCTGTTCTCCTGACCCGCCTCCATCCCGCCACCTTCCCTCCCATGCCCTCAGTGTATTGCTTCCAGCCACGTGTGTGGGGCCCGCCGGCTCGGCAGGTGCTTTGGAGGGCCTTGGACCGGGAGCGCCCTGTCCCAGGTCAGGCTGGCAGGTGCAGGCTGTAAAGGCAGTGAGGTCAGCACCACCATCTCACCTTCCTCACGTGAAGGGTCCTTCCTCCTTCTGAGCCCACTGTCTTCTTCCCTCTGCTGATCCACCAGTCCTCATCCCTTCTTTCCTTCCCTGCCTGCTGATGGCACCCTTCAGGGAGGACTCGACTAGGGGCAGTCCGTCCCTGGATGGCTTTACCTGTGTGGGGCCTGTCTCTAGAGCCAGTGACAACCACCAGGCAGCCTCCAGCTGGCCCCCATCTTAGTGACTGGTTTCCTCTAGGGCCACCTCTCCTGCTGCTGCTTCCTGTCTGAAACCCAACAGGCAGTGTTAAGGGTGCGTGTGTACCCAGCACTGACCCAGGGTTTCCAGCTGTCCGTCTGCATGTACAGCTGCCTCTCCGCCACCTCTCTCGGGGCTATTGGAGCCCTCTTGAGTCTCAGCACCAGCCCCCAGCTCACACGTTTTACGTGGTCTCTTCCCGTTAGGCCCTTCTTGGATATGGACCTTACCTAACTAAAGGGCTGAACTCTGGAGGACACTCCTCCCAGGGGCAGGAGTCGATGAACCAGTGGCCCTTTTCTGGACACTGGGTTCTTCAGAGTCCACGGCTTCTGTTGAATGCAGACTACTTTGCTCTGTGTAAATGACTGTGGACCTTGTCCCACCCCTCATCCAAGTACCCTTGGCAGAAAACAGTCTGGTTTCTCATCCTACCTTCAGCCTGTGCTCCTGCCGGCTCCTCCTCCAGGAGATGGGTGACCCCTGGGAAGATTGCGCTGGCCCTCCCCGAGGAATGAAGAGTCCTGAGAGCCAGGGTGGTACTCTTTAGCGGTTCCACATGGCAGCCTTGGCCCCTGCACCCCTCTCCAGTGTCCTCGCTCTTAGCCCAGGGTGAGTTGCAGTCAGGTGGGTGGGCTAAGCAGACCAGAGGTCATGGAGCTCCGAGACAGAGCCAGCCAGACCCAGTCCTGTCTGTGTCCATGCCCTTTGTGATTTCAGTCTTGGTAGAATTTGTATTTGGAGTTTTGTGCTTCAAACTTTCTGTTTTGTTTGTTTGGTTTTTGTTTTGAGGGGGTGGGGGGTACAGAGCAGCCGATCAATTTGTATTTATTTATTTTAACATTTTACTAAATAAAGCCAAATAAAGCCTCTCAGCCTCTTGGTGTTGAATTTGGGGCTAGGGTGGGAAAGTGTGGGTCAGATACTCCATCTCTAGTGTGTGGCCCTTGAGGGTTCAGACTGTCCTGGGACTCGAGCTGGAGTCCACTTCCACTGTCCACTGATGCCCTCAGACCCTAAAGAGCCCTTGATGCCCCAGCCAGGGTACAAAAAGTGGTTCCAGGGGATCTAAAGCCCTCTCGCACATGCGTACATACAGGCAAAAAACTCACACATAAAATGAAAAACCCCAATTTAAATTCTTTTATTTTGAAAGGGGGTTGGGGGAACCAGCCCCAAACCAGCTGGGGCTGAGAAGAGTTGGACCCCAACAGTGGAACAGCAACAGGGGATGGAAACAGGAACCCCCCACAGATGCTCCAACCCCAGCCCCTGTGACAGAAACCTTAAATAACTTAAATAGCAGTAAGGGTGGGAACGCACCAGGGTTCTCCAGTGTCAGCAGGGTGTGTATGTGTGAGCCATGGCCGGGGCAGCTTGGTAAGCTCAAGCCCCGCTCTGGGATTGCTGCAGGGCAGTGAGGTATTTCAGGGCTGCAGCCCCATAGCGCCGTGACAAATCCTGGTGGAACTCCTCCTTGAGGGTCTGGAGGCAGTCACGATAGGTGGGGCTGGAGCGGAAGCGGGAAATGTCCAGACTTGGAGCATGGGGCAAGTGGATGGAGTAGGCCTCAGGCAGCACCAGGAGTTCATATTCCTGTAAGAATGAGGACAGGAATCAGCTAGGGAGGAGCAAGTGAGGGCTGAAATGCAAGCTTGTGCCATGGCCCACCAGGAACAGGCAGGTCACAGCCAGGGCAACAAGGTGCCCTCCTCACCTGAGCATCCAGCTCTATGATGTGGGCCACCTTATTCCAGCCGAAGCCCACAAAGCGAGGATCATAGCGGGGACAGTCACGGGGCACCACCACATAGGGCTCATAGTCAGCTGCCCATTGCACATGGTATGGCGCCTTGGCCTCCCGCCAGCGGGCATAGTCTGTGGGTGCATGACCCTGTGGCCACTCATGGTACCTGCGGAACAGGACCAGGATCAGGGCTGAGGCTAGGAGTTTTTGAGCTGGGAGGGCCAGGGGCAGAATGCGGTCTCTCTTACCTGAAGGTGAAGAGGGAGCCTGCATCCAGTAAGGCCAGCAGCTCTGCCTTGGAGCTGGGGAAGCTGAAGCGGTAGTGCAGGGTCTCGAACGCAGGCACCACCAAAGCAGCTTTCCGCTGACTGCCCAGCTCCAGCTGCTCGATAGAGGCCCTGGGCAGGGACAGGCATGGGGGGGAAAAGACTCAGCCCACAGGTCTCACCCCTGCTGAGCCACAGACCCCCCCTTGCAGGTAGTCAACCCTGCTGTTTCAGATGCCACACACAGAACTGATGTTTGAAGTAAGGCATTGCTTTCCTGACTCAATGGTGGCCCAAAGAAAAGGCCTAAGATAAGCCCCATCTTGCAGAAGCCGTTGAGCCCAGGAAAGACACAGAGACACAGCAACCTAGGGTTCCCAAGATACCCTTAACCTGACAGTGTATACCCCAAGTGCCGCCCCTCTCCTAACCTCCAGGCCCACCTGAGGTAGTCGTAGAGGGAGTAGGCAGGTAAGAAGTCAATGTCACTGAGGAAGACGTAGGGCGTGAGAGCCTGAGCCAAGGCCACATTGCGGAGCTGGTTGACTGGATAGAGGAGACCCTCCCGGTACACTATATGGTAGGCTACATCCTTCCTCGCAGAGAGCACTGGCGAAGTTTCCACGAAATGCAGGAACTGCTGAGCCTCTGCGTCTGTCAGGTACAAGGCCAGGCTCATGGGGCCTGGCCAGTGCCTGCACAGGGCTTCCAGCATCTGCAGCCTGGGGTGAGGTGGGTGGTCAGCCCTGCTCGGGCCCCTCGTGCACAGAAGCCCAGGAATCCTCCCCAAAGTTAACTGCCGCAGAGCCCCCCCCCATGACTAAGCACCTTACAGTCTCTTAATCCTTACATCCACATGCTACCTGGGGCTGCCCTCCACGCCCTCACCGGTCCATAGAGAGCTGGGCCACCAAGGTGACATCGTGAGGCCGGGGAGGTGGCGGCTGGTGGGGAAGGAAGGCGATGTGCACACGGTAGACACTGAGCTGCTGTTGCCGGAACTCAAAGCAGGGCTCGTCCTCATCCAGCTGTGCCAGGGCCTGTTGCAACTGAGCCGGGTCCAGGGAAAGAAGGAAAACGGGTCTGGCCCAGGACAACATGCCCTCCAGTCAAGGCCCACCTGAGTACCGAGGGGCAAGACCTCCCAAAGGCAAGGTCACATGGCCCCTCTCACCTGCTCAGCCCCAGGAGGGAGCTGGCTGGGGCATCCCAAGAGCTCTCTCCGCAACAGTTTCCCATCGTACCCCAGGAAGGTCAAGTGCAGGGTTCGGAAGAACTCTGCATGCTTGTTCTTCACTCGAAGCTTCTTTGGCGAGTTCCAGTGGATCACCTGGGGTCCAGGAGGTGTTGGCAGGGATTTAGAACAGGGAAGAGCAACAGTTCCCCATCCTGCGGTCTCCACTCACCTTGAGGTCGGCTGCTCCCAAGTAGCAGCGCTCAGCCAGTGTGTGGTCCGACAGCTGCACGTTCCAGACACAGGGCAAGGGATGCACCAGCTCGGGATGCTCCTTGATGACAGCATTGAAAACGTCCTAGGCAGTGACAGACATCACATCTCAGCCCCCAGCCTGCCCCTCAGTTCTCCTCCCGCAAAGATTCCTCCAGACCTGGTCAGCCAGAGACGTGGCAGTCAGAGTAAGGAGCTCGCGTTTGGCTATTAGCTTCCACAACAGCTCCCAGTCAGTTTGCCGGAGTCTGTCCAGCCACAGTAGGATGACACCTGCCAACGGGGAAAGAGGTTGCCATGCCCACCAAGGACATCCAGACCCTGAATCTTCTGAAATGTTTGTTTTGCAGTGCTAGGGAGAGCCCAAACCCTCATACGTCCAAGACAATCTCTCTAACACTAACTACACCCCAGCCCCTTTTAAATCTTATTTTGAGGAAATGAAGCGATGGAGTCGTGTTTAAGTATACTGGTTGCTCTTGCAGTAGATCCAGATTCAATTAGCAGAACCACACGGTGACTCACAACCCTCCGAACTCCAGTTTCAGAGGATTCAACGTCCTCTTCTGAGCTCCATTGGTGCCAGGCGTGCATGCAGCACACACACACATACATGCAGACAAAACTTTCAAGCACATAAAACAAATCTTCAAAAACAAGTATTATTTTGAAATAGGGTCTCACTAAGCTTCTCAGGCCGGCCTCACACTGGCAATCTTCCTGCCTCAGTCTCCCAAGAAACTGGTATAACCAGCAACAATAGGCAACACCGCACCAGGCTGCAAGGTGTTAATTGGTATAGTCAGTTGTATGTCACCTAATGGTGCTTTGATCAACAATATAAAGCGCACACTGTACTGTGGTGATGCATGACTATATATACATAAAAAGTCACCACCAGGGACTGGGTATGTGGCTCAGTTGGAATCCTTGTCTATCATGCATAAAGCCCTGACTTAACACCCCAGTATGGCATAAACCAAGGAGACCAGGTAGTACATATCTGCAATCCCAGCACCAAGGAAGTAGAGGCAGGAGAATCAGAAGTTCAAGGTCATCCTCAGTTACATAATAAGCTCAAAGCCAGAGTGGGTTACATGAATCCTTGCCAAATAAACCTCTTATTTACAACCTCTTATTTTTCCTATGCTTTTTCCATTTTCAGCTACACAAATACTTGCCACTGTATTACAGTAAGCACTTAGTTCAGTGATATGCCTGTTGTTCCCAGACCATACCACAGCCTACAGAAGAGCAGGCTACTCTATCTGGGTGTGCAAATATACCCTCTGGTGTTTGTACGGCAATGAAACTGCCTAATGGCAAATCACTCAGAACGTGTCCAAACTGTTAACACAGGACTGTATTTTCTGAGGGTTCAGACATAATCGCCCATAATTCCCTTGGGTAGAGGGGAGGAGAAGAGCCCTTCCCAGCTCTCCTCTCGCAGTTGGCAATGGCAGGACTATCTTAACTCTTCCCATGATGTGGATGAGAAAACAGTCTTAAAGGAGACAATGGGTTGGCCACAGCCGTTTGCAAGCATGCTTGTGAGACGGTTCTCTTTACCCCGAGTCCCCTCCATAGCCCGGCAGAGCTCTTGCTGGGGGCTTCCTAGCCCACCCTAGCCTGCCTCCCTCACCACCGTCCCCACCTGTGTTAAAGCCCCTGCCCACGGCAGGCCAGGGCCTATGGTTCCTCCAGAGGTTGCCCAGGTACCACTCGCTCTGGTTCTCCACGAGACCGACCACCTGCTTGTCTGGGAAGGGAGGGCAAGAAGGAGCTGCCTTGGGGATGTGGGCTAGGGGCTAGTGGGGGGGGGGCTGGGTAAGCTGGGGAGACAGCAGGCTAGGGTAGGGCTGCAGGTGTCTCACCAGAAAACTGAGCAAAGAGTGCCCATAGCTCAGCAATGTCAGAGGAGAAGGTGACATCAGTGTCCAGGACAATGACTTGGGCCAGACTGAGAGGGAGGATGCTGGGAAGTACTAGCTTCATTAGCCCATATAGGCCAGAGTAGTGCTTGTTGGGGATCCAGGAGATCAGGGGCTGTGGGGGAGGGGAGAACATGCCAAGTGGCAGCACAGTGGAACACAGCCATGATCCCCCAAAACGTGAAAGGCTTGGGCTCCAGGAGGCATGGTACAACAGGATCTCTCTTCTCCCACCACCCATTGCTGGGGAAAGGAGCGGATGGGCCCAGCTGGGCAGGAGCGGTGGGGGGGGCCCAGCTGGGCAGGAGTGGAGTGGGGGGAGGGTGGGGGGTGGGTGCCCAGCTGGGCAGGAGTGGATTGGGGGGGGGAGTGGGGGCCCAGCTGGGCAGGAGCGGTGTGGGGGGGCCAGCTGGGCAGGAGCAGTGTGTATGGGGGGATTGACCCCTGCCTTGAGCTCTTCAGCATCATAGAATCTGATCACCAC